TTTTTGACCTCCTTTTGCCACTTTTTTCTCTAGCATTAAAGGCGACATGAAAGGAAACAACTGGCTGAGATACGACAACGCCACTTTTCAAATATTCTCCAAAGAGGCAGAGGATTCTACTCCCATCCACAATGGCGATGTGGTGGGACTCAAGTACTTACACTGCTCCGGCAAAGCATGGCTGACCAAAAGTGGCAAATTCCTTTATCCGCGTAGCTGTAGCAGAAACGACAAAACCTCTTGCGCAAAAGAGGACAGTTTCACCGGCTTCAAAATCTTCAAGAGCTGAAGTTTCAAGATCTCAACTTTGAAGCTGGAGTTCTCAACCATAAATTTAAGCATAAACAGTTTAGATCATTTAGTGACCATCTTGGAAAGATAATTAAATAATTTCTAAGGGATTTATGTGTTATTTAACTTTAACTTTTTGCTTTTCAATAAAAGAGTTGAGGATTCGATCGCGATTAAACGTCTCATGGTACTTATGACTCGACTGCTAAGATTAAAACAAATGATCTGTTAGCCTTTGCTCCTTAAAGCTGTTTCACCTTAATTAGAAATCACCCTGACTGTTTTTTAGTTCGTTTTGTTTATCACATTTTCTGTGGTGTTTTCTTTTAATCTGGGTCATTTTAGGATTCAACTGAGAGAAAAAAAATGATCTAATTCCAATCCAATGTAGCTAGCACGTCAGTCCCTTCACAACGACAACACATTGATAAGCGACCTTCTATTGAGGGTTTTCTTTCTTTTATAGTGGAACCCCCATATCCTCGGTGAAGCATCTTCAATTAAGTGCTCACTGACTCTGGAGATATGAATAAATAGCTAATATTTGTAATCAACTGAGTCCAATGAAGCATATTTTCACCAAAGATTGACGAACACCAATATTTTTGCGACGGGTTCAAAACTAATTTTCGGCCAAGCTTTCAAACGGTGGTAGAATCGAATGAGTGATTAGGTTGAGAAATTGGGTCACTAAATTTTATCATTTCTTCCTGCCATGGTTTTTCAACGTGTCAGCATAACTGCAATCTTGTCAATCGAATAATTTTTTCTTCAAAGAGTAAT